TAAAAAAATATATAATCATATATTTTTTAAACAAATTTATTAATTATTAAAGCTTAGACATGCTTTGGACACTTGTGAACACTTGGACACTTGGACGTTGGACAGTGCCAAAAAAGCCTTTGGACAGTCAAAAATCTAAATCTAAGAAAAAGTCACGTGGGTAAAAGGCTTTAGCGGACCCCCCCGAATTGGTAGGAGTCCATGCGAACCGGAGACTTTTTGGGTATAACATGTGAAGTGAGATTATCTAAGAAAAAAAAATAGGGTCCCAATTGTAAGTTAAATCAAGAAAACTTTTGGATGTCTTCAGAACGAGGAATTCTTCCGCCTACTTATAGTCTACCACCACCGCCGCCACCACAGCGACCATTGCAATTACAACGGCCACCTCCACGGCCATCGCGAATACATAGCTATGGTCGTGATCGTGGGGATACGCCAAAATTGGAGCAAAAAAACTCAAAAATATTGGGACAACACGGAATTGGACTGCATGACGATGAATCGTAATTATTCAAGTTTCATTAGCAACTGAACGTAAAAGCTCATTTAATACTTAATTAACGATTGGCGGCTTTATGTAGACATTTGAAACCAATAATATATTTCAAACTTGATTCTCCCGAAGCAATCGCTAAATGGATTGAAGATAGAAAGAGAAATTATCCAACCGACGCTAATATTGCACGAAAGGTAAAAGGAAATCCTATTTATCCTTAATATTTATAGTATTTATAGAATTTACTTCATAATATTTCAAATGCAATAGCAACAAGCAGAGGCTGAGAGGCTTGCACGAGGGCTTGTAATAAAAGTTGATAAAAGTGGATCAAAACGTAAACTTAAGCAAGAGGATGATTACTCAAAAAGAAAAATCAATAGGCATGAAATAAACGAATTCGGTGGCCCGTGTGGTGTCACGGATTTGGTAATTGCGGCTGAAGCTGCTGGAATAACTCTTGAGAACAATAATATACCTGACTTAATTCCGGCTCATAAGCTTACTTCTAGAAATAAGAAAGATACTTCTAAAAATATTATCGAAAGGTTTTATACCAATATCTGTATTAAATATCGACCTGGTCACTGTCCCAGGGGGAAGAAATGTGGCAATCGACATAAGGGAACAATGGTATTTATTTATGATGACTTTAGTCGTCTTCTACATATTTTAACCATTTTTCATATTTAAGATTTGCCCATCACTTCAACGTCCACCAGATCATCAAAGGATTCGCCACAGGAATCTTCGTGAAATGGTAAGTGGTGTTTGTCTTTTATATATGATTCTTATTAATGATTTTTAACGTTACTTGCATGTTATATTTAGTTACTATATAGAGAAAAAATACAAGAAAAAAACGCAATTTTGCAAAGTCTCAAATATATTGTTGATAACAATTTTTTTGGAGTTGTTACAAATGATTCTTTAAAAAATGCGAAAGGTCCTCTAATCGAAGTAATTGATCAAGATGTATCAAAAAAAAATAGGATTTTGTAATTTTGTGCTAGGCATATCAAAAATTCATCGATTTAGCTTTGACCAATTAGAATGCAGCAACGAAAATTTGACAAATCGGAGCGCAAATCGAAATATTATCGATGTGTTCCCATAATCACGTAACTTAAGACTGTCATAACACAATCATAACGACAATATAATTTTTTTAAAGTTTTTTACTTTATTAATAAAAAAAAACCAACCGCATAACAAACGTTTTTATAAAAAATAGCAAATTTAATAGTAGAAATTGTCAGAAGTTAAATGGTTTATCTATAGGGGTAGAATGCAGCTGGCTTACAATGAAAAGTTTTTTTTATGCCAAGTAAACCTTTCTTGAGTTTCTAACAAATATTATAGAACAAGCTATTCCGGTTTTAATAGTGATAGAATCATTAAAATTAGTCTAGTAGATCGCGAGTTATTGGCATTTGCACATTCATGACTATTTGATTTTTTTATATATTGCCAGAAACTTTCGGCATTCCAATTATATGAAAGCAATAATAATTCTTCGCCAATTTTTACTATGAAATTTATACCCGTCAATTGCGATCTACCATTTAATTATTTTCAAATTCTATTTTGTTATTGTATAGTGAATATTTTGCAAGCATGGCAATAAATACAAAAGCAATAAAAAATTAGCAATATAATTTATCACAAGCAAATAGCTTAATTACAAAATTAATATTAAAAATTAAATTTTTTTTAAAAAAAAACGAAAGTAAGGCTGTGCTTCTGTTCTTTTATTAGAATTCATAGAATATTACAAATATTATTACAATATGTTATGTTTTCTAATCTATGGGGAATTAGAGGTTAAAGCTACTTTACTTTTGACCTAAGCTTTTGATAAGATAGATCAAATAACTTCATTAGTCTATGTAAGGAATTGTAAGTGAAGTATTTGCTGTTATAAAGTTGTTAGCTAGAGGTTATATTTATACACACTGTAGTATATTGAATGTGTAGGCTGGTGTTTGTTTGGGATTATTGTTGTAGATTGAAGGTTTGTATAGGCCTGTTTGAAGTTCAATATATCTTAATTTTCAGATTTTCTTTTGGATATCTTCATCAGTAATAATTTCAAGAGGTGTGGGTTGTAATTTATATATAAATTTCTGTAAAAAGTTTTGTTTAAAGTTAGTTAAGTTTATATCTAGTTGGTATTTTTGTTTTGTTCGATTAAGAACTTAAGAACTTGCGAGACTATGTTGTCGCATTTGTTGTGCAGATGAGCCAGTGTAATTCGTAAACGTCTTTAAAATTAGCAAGTATTAAAGTAAATAAACGTTTTTAAATTAGAGTTTTCATTAAGTTAAAAATATAAATTGTCATTAATTCAATTGCTACTCTTTACGTTTATATCAGTATATTGACGCTAATAATAGTTATTTATAATAAACATATAGTCCAGCGTTAGTAATTTGAACAATTGGGATATATCAACACTCAGGCCAACGACATAGTTAATCACAAATTGGTGTCATAGCCAGTGTTTGAAATTAGTGTTCTCAGAGTTTGCATGAGAACAGTATTATAGATTTGTGCACAGTCTAAATTCTATTAAAAATTTTTTGAGAACAGCAAATAATAATTGTGTTCTCATAAAGACTGTATATAGCATTATAATGCTAAGCCAGTTGATAACTGATCACAATATAATAATATTAAATTCGATAAATTAGATACTATATATTTTAAAGATATCTAGTTGATTATATTTTTATCGATTTTTTGAACATAAAATAAAAGTTTGAGAACACCAATTATAATTTTATTGTTCTCATGAGAACAGGGCCAGTGACAAATTATGTGTGATTCTGTGCGATTCTGTGCTAAAATTTGTTGGAACTTTCCGGATTTTGTTTCGAAAGAGTTTTCATGACCTTGCTCGTAATTTAAATTCATTCAAATTCTACCAATAATTGCCCCATTATGTGCTATTCTGCGGTGATAAACACGTGATATAGGCATATATATATATGTGAATTCTGTGGTATTTTGTGAAACACACTTAAGTCCGAAATTTCAAACACTGGTCACAACCTAAAAATTTCACCGGCCAATCAGATTTCAAGATCAGGTGTGGCGCAGAAGAATCGCAAAAATAATCAAAACCAAAAAAATAGCTCATAACTCAACATTTTATCTATGGAACCACCTTCTGCGCACTAATAAAAAGTTTTCCTTGCAAATTTTGGTATTCCTAAAGCTCTTTCTAACCTAATTTAATAGCAGAAACTAATTCTAATCTAACAGTGAAATTTTTTTAGCGGTTGATAACGCTAGATCAGTTTATACAACTGGTGTTGATCCTTAGTACTGTACATTTGCCTATAAATTGCTGAATTGCTAATTTTGTTGATCATTATGCATCTTTTTTTGTTTCTATAATAATAACCATGGAAACTAGTCCTGGAGCACACAAATCAACATTAGTTCGTACAATTCATGAAACAGATATAATCGATAGTTCCGAAGTTACTAATTCAAAAGATATTGATGTAGAGACAGACAATTCAAATGTGAAGAAGCGTAAACTAAGTGATCAAATTGATAGTGCAGAATCTAATACTAATAGACAAATTAGTAAACAGATCATTAAGAAGGATACTTCAGATATTGTTGTTTGTTATTATGAAAATGGTGGTTAATTAATGGACTTATTTTTGAATTTAAACCATTTGGTTAGTCAAAATTTAATACTTTTTTTTTTTTTTTTTTTTTTTTTCTCTTTTGATAGGTTTACGTAAAGTAAAGCCATATTATTACGAGCATAGAACGTTTGCGAAAGGACGTTGGTTAGGTCGCAAGATTCTAGATGTTTTTAGCACAGAATTCCGAGATCGATCCAGAGAATATTATGTATGCACTTGTTTTATCAAAGACTCCTCTAGTTTGATGTTTAAAGCTTATTTGATTCTTTTTTTTTCGAGGAAGGCACATGCAATAGAGAAAGGCTTAATAACTATTAACGGCCAAAGAGTTACACCTGAAACAATTATTAAAAATCAAGATTTAATTGGGCATCGACTCCATCGTCATGAACCTCCTGTTACTGCTAATCCAATTAAAATTTTATGTGTCAAAGATGATCATATTGTTATTGATAAACCTAGTAGTATTCCGGTACGTTGAAAAATCTTTTTATCTTGAATTATTTTAGCCTAAACAAAGATTATTAGTTATTTCATCTTAATTCTTGGTTAAAGGTTCATCCATCAGGAAGGTACGAGATAGATTAACATTGACAATATTATGTTTAATTATGATGTAGTCTTTATAATTATACTAAACCTTTTTTGTTTCTAGATATCGGCACAATACAGTCTTACATATATTACAAAGTGAACATGGATTTCCAAATTTACACTGTAATCTCATTAATAACATTAATTCCACGTAGAGATGTTATGGTCCGGTCTTGATCCTAGAGGACCATGGTCCAATCTATTCAACTGGCCTAATCGATAGTGATTAAATTAGGATAGGGTTCTAACTTAAAATTGTAAGAAATTTTTTGTTAGAGAAAAACTTGGTCGTGTATCCTGATTTGTCGGTCAACGTAGTGATAGTGGTGCACCACATTGGCAATTGATAATTCTTACAATATACAAACATGGACTGATCCAAAAACTGTTTCAACTGGTCAAAGATCAGTCAGGACTATGGCTGTAACATCTCATACTCATGGTGAAATAACATTGAAATTATCAATGCTAATTTTTTTCTAAATAATAGCACTTAATAGGTTAGATCGTTTAACATCAGGAATAATGATTTTATCGTCAAAAAAAGAAAAAGCCCAGGATTTTGAACGGCAACTGAAAAATCGTAAAATTCAAAAAGAATATATTTGTCGTGTGTTGGGTGAATTTCCAGAGTGAGTTATAAAAATCTTTATGATTTAGTATTCCTATCTATTATGTCATTGGCAAACATAAATTTTTTACTAGGGGAGAAATAACATGTGATAAACCTATTAAGATAGTTTCACATAAACTCGGCCTAAACGTGGTTCATGTGTCCGGAAAACCGTGTACAACAATTTTTGAGCGAGTTGGTTATAATGGACGAACTAGTGTTGTAAAATGTACATTATAAAACTTTTAATTTTTATTTTGCGAGTTCAATAATTTCGTAAATTAACAATGGTTTATTGTTGAAAAAGGCAAGCCACTTACAGGTCGCACACACCAAATTCGAGTTCATCTTCAATACTTAGGTCATCCAATTGCCAATGATCCTTTATATGCGAATGCAAAAGCTTGGGGATCTGAACTTGGGAAAGGTGGTATTAATGCGGAACAAACAGATATAATAATTGATAAGCTTATTAAAGAAGGCTTTTGCGAAAATGGTGATATGAGCTCTGATACTCAAAAAAAAACTGATGATTGTAAAGTTTTTCAAACCAATACCGGAGATGATTTAAAAAATGAGATCGCAAAGTTACCAAATGAGAATAATCATGCTAAGGAGTCAGTTGTTATTGCTAAGCCTAACATGAAGCTTTGTGAAGAATGCACAGCAGCAAAATTTTCTGATCCTTTTTTACACCAATTATTGATTTGGTTACATGCTTTAAAATATGAAGGTGACGGATGGAAATATGAAAGTGAGTTACCTTTTTGGGCTAAAGACGAATTTGTTGGAGATATGGAATATGTCTGATCACAAGATTAATTTTTTTAGTATAAGATAAAAATAAAAAATTATTTTGAAACAGATATTTTTTTTTTATAAATCCTTTTAACTATAATACCAAATAGCAAAAACATTCTGAATTTTTACGAATACAGTCTAACCTCTATATAATCAATTTTTGGACTGGTGATAATATAAGGTGTGGATCTTATGGAATATTTCTATATCATTAGCGATTATATAGAAGTTTAATAATTAAAAATTTAAAAAAAAATTTTTAATTAATCGAGGCTACATATAAAAGTCAAAAATATATTAAGTAGATAAACAATAGTGCTCTAGGAATGTTCTGAAGACAAAATTACATATATTCTAAATTTTTGAGATAATTTTAATAAAATTTTATTAATGCACTTTTATAATTTACGTTTAGACGAAAAAATTTTAATTCTTTTTCGCCTAAACGTAAGTTGTAAAGATGTAAGAATAAATTTTTATCCAAATTATCTCAACATTTCAGAATATATGTAATTTTGTCTCCCGAACATTTTTATTCAAAACACTATTATTGATTATCTAATATTTTGACTTTATATGAGTGCCGTCAATAGAAACTCTGCGGATATATCATTACAATATTTAATTAAGGACTTAATTAGGCAAGGCATTTATATTTTGCACCCTAATGATCTACAAAGAAATTGATTTTGTTTATTAATATTCTAATAAAAAAGATTTCTTGCTACATGTTAACTCTCATTAAAATTACGACCTGCAAAAATTTGTTGGCGATCCTAGAGTAATTCTGTTATTTGCCATTATAGGTTTACATACAATATAATTTTTTTTAAAAAAAAAATTATATATATAACTATAGCACTATAGTGCCATAGCACTATAGTGCTATAGCACTATAAAATAAATCCCTAATTTTATATAGGGATTGGGTTCTGTAGCTTAGTGATTAAGCTCCCAAACCCTCACAGACAAGGTCAATAGTTCGAGACAGGCTGGTAAAAATTGTTTCTGTAACCCAATGGGGGTTATCAACCTCTTATTAAGAAAAATAGGCTTAGGCTATATAAATTATCTCGCTGTTATCAACCCCCACACATATCAAAATATTTGTCTAATCCAATGGGTTGATATTAATGAGAGTTAACATGTAGCAAGAAATCTTTTTTATTAGAATATTAATAAACAAAATCAATTTCTTTGTAGATCATTAGGGTGCAAAATATAAATGCCTTGCCTAATTAAGTCCTTAATTAAATATTGTAATGATATATCCGCAGAGTTTCTATTGACGGCACTCATATAAAGTCAAAATATTAGATAATCAATAATAGTGTTTTGAATAAAAATGTTCGGGAGACAAAATTACATATATTCTGAAATGTTGAGATAATTTGGATAAAAATTTATTCTTACATCTTTACAACTTACGTTTAGGCGAAAAAGAATTAAAATTTTTTCGTCTAAACGTAAATTATAAAAGTGCATTAATAAAATTTTATTAAAATTATCTCAAAAATTTAGAATATATGTAATTTTGTCTTCAGAACATTCCTAGAGCACTATTGTTTATCTACTTAATATATTTTTGACTTTTATATGTAGCCTCGATTAATTAAAAATTTTTTTTTAAATTTTTAATTATTAAACTTCTATATAATCGCTAATGATATAGAAATATTCCATAAGATCCACACCTTATATTATCACCAGTCCAAAAATTGATTATATAGAGGTTAGACTGTATTCGTAAAAATTCAGAATGTTTTTGCTATTTGGTATTATAGTTAAAAGGATTTATAAAAAAAAAATATCTGTTTCAAAATAATTTTTTATTTTTATCTTATACTAAAAAAATTAATCTTGTGATCAGACATATTCCATATCTCCAACAAATTCGTCTTTAGCCCAAAAAGGTAACTCACTTTCATATTTCCATCCGTCACCTTCATATTTTAAAGCATGTAACCAAATCAATAATTGGTGTAAAAAAGGATCAGAAAATTTTGCTGCTGTGCATTCTTCACAAAGCTTCATGTTAGGCTTAGCAATAACAACTGACTCCTTAGCATGATTATTCTCATTTGGTAACTTTGCGATCTCATTTTTTAAATCATCTCCGGTATTGGTTTGAAAAACTTTACAATCATCAGTTTTTTTTTGAGTATCAGAGCTCATATCACCATTTTCGCAAAAGCCTTCTTTAATAAGCTTATCAATTATTATATCTGTTTGTTCCGCATTAATACCACCTTTCCCAAGTTCAGATCCCCAAGCTTTTGCATTCGCATATAAAGGATCATTGGCAATTGGATGACCTAAGTATTGAAGATGAACTCGAATTTGGTGTGTGCGACCTGTAAGTGGCTTGCCTTTTTCAACAATAAACCATTGTTAATTTACGAAATTATTGAACTCGCAAAATAAAAATTAAAAGTTTTATAATGTACATTTTACAACACTAGTTCGTCCATTATAACCAACTCGCTCAAAAATTGTTGTACACGGTTTTCCGGACACATGAACCACGTTTAGGCCGAGTTTATGTGAAACTATCTTAATAGGTTTATCACATGTTATTTCTCCCCTAGTAAAAAATTTATGTTTGCCAATGACATAATAGATAGGAATACTAAATCATAAAGATTTTTATAACTCACTCTGGAAATTCACCCAACACACGACAAATATATTCTTTTTGAATTTTACGATTTTTCAGTTGCCGTTCAAAATCCTGGGCTTTTTCTTTTTTTGACGATAAAATCATTATTCCTGATGTTAAACGATCTAACCTATTAAGTGCTATTATTTAGAAAAAAATTAGCATTGATAATTTCAATGTTATTTCACCATGAGTATGAGATGTTACAGCCATAGTCCTGACTGATCTTTGACCAGTTGAAACAGTTTTTGGATCAGTCCATGTTTGTATATTGTAAGAATTATCAATTGCCAATGTGGTGCACCACTATCACTACGTTGACCGACAAATCAGGATACACGACCAAGTTTTTCTCTAACAAAAAATTTCTTACAATTTTAAGTTAGAACCCTATCCTAATTTAATCACTATCGATTAGGCCAGTTGAATAGATTGGACCATGGTCCTCTAGGATCAAGACCGGACCATAACATCTCTACGTGGAATTAATGTTATTAATGAGATTACAGTGTAAATTTGGAAATCCATGTTCACTTTGTAATATATGTAAGACTGTATTGTGCCGATATCTAGAAACAAAAAAGGTTTAGTATAATTATAAAGACTACATCATAATTAAACATAATATTGTCAATGTTAATCTATCTCGTACCTTCCTGATGGATGAACCTTTAACCAAGAATTAAGATGAAATAACTAATAATCTTTGTTTAGGCTAAAATAATTCAAGATAAAAAGATTTTTCAACGTACCGGAATACTACTAGGTTTATCAATAACAATATGATCATCTTTGACACATAAAATTTTAATTGGATTAGCAGTAACAGGAGGTTCATGACGATGGAGTCGATGCCCAATTAAATCTTGATTTTTAATAATTGTTTCAGGTGTAACTCTTTGGCCGTTAATAGTTATTAAGCCTTTCTCTATTGCATGTGCCTTCCTCGAAAAAAAAAGAATCAAATAAGCTTTAAACATCAAACTAGAGGAGTCTTTGATAAAACAAGTGCATACATAATATTCTCTGGATCGATCTCGGAATTCTGTGCTAAAAACATCTAGAATCTTGCGACCTAACCAACGTCCTTTCGCAAACGTTCTATGCTCGTAATAATATGGCTTTACTTTACGTAAACCTATCAAAAGAGAAAAAAAAAAAAAAAAAAAAAAAAAGTATTAAATTTTGACTAACCAAATGGTTTAAATTCAAAAATAAGTCCATTAATTAACCACCATTTTCATAATAACAAACAACAATATCTGAAGTATCCTTCTTAATGATCTGTTTACTAATTTGTCTATTAGTATTAGATTCTGCACTATCAATTTGATCACTTAGTTTACGCTTCTTCACATTTGAATTGTCTGTCTCTACATCAATATCTTTTGAATTAGTAACTTCGGAACTATCGATTATATCTGTTTCATGAATTGTACGAACTAATGTTGATTTGTGTGCTCCAGGACTAGTTTCCATGGTTATTATTATAGAAACAAAAAAAGATGCATAATGATCAACAAAATTAGCAATTCAGCAATTTATAGGCAAATGTACAGTACTAAGGATCAACACCAGTTGTATAAACTGATCTAGCGTTATCAACCGCTAAAAAAATTTCACTGTTAGATTAGAATTAGTTTCTGCTATTAAATTAGGTTAGAAAGAGCTTTAGGAATACCAAAATTTGCAAGGAAAACTTTTTATTAGTGCGCAGAAGGTGGTTCCATAGATAAAATGTTGAGTTATGAGCTATTTTTTTGGTTTTGATTATTTTTGCGATTCTTCTGCGCCACACCTGATCTTGAAATCTGATTGGCCGGTGAAATTTTTAGGTTGTGACCAGTGTTTGAAATTTCGGACTTAAGTGTGTTTCACAAAATACCACAGAATTCACATATATATATATGCCTATATCACGTGTTTATCACCGCAGAATAGCACATAATGGGGCAATTATTGGTAGAATTTGAATGAATTTAAATTACGAGCAAGGTCATGAAAACTCTTTCGAAACAAAATCCGGAAAGTTCCAACAAATTTTAGCACAGAATCGCACAGAATCACACATAATTTGTCACTGGCCCTGTTCTCATGAGAACAATAAAATTATAATTGGTGTTCTCAAACTTTTATTTTATGTTCAAAAAATCGATAAAAATATAATCAACTAGATATCTTTAAAATATATAGTATCTAATTTATCGAATTTAATATTATTATATTGTGATCAGTTATCAACTGGCTTAGCATTATAATGCTATATACAGTCTTTATGAGAACACAATTATTATTTGCTGTTCTCAAAAAATTTTTAATAGAATTTAGACTGTGCACAAATCTATAATACTGTTCTCATGCAAACTCTGAGAACACTAATTTCAAACACTGGCTATGACACCAATTTGTGATTAACTATGTCGTTGGCCTGAGTGTTGATATATCCCAATTGTTCAAATTACTAACGCTGGACTATATGTTTATTATAAATAACTATTATTAGCGTCAATATACTGATATAAACGTAAAGAGTAGCAATTGAATTAATGACAATTTATATTTTTAACTTAATGAAAACTCTAATTTAAAAACGTTTATTTACTTTAATACTTGCTAATTTTAAAGACGTTTACGAATTACACTGGCTCATCTGCACAACAAATGCGACAACATAGTCTCGCAAGTTCTTAAGTTCTTAATCGAACAAAACAAAAATACCAACTAGATATAAACTTAACTAACTTTAAACAAAACTTTTTACAGAAATTTATATATAAATTACAACCCACACCTCTTGAAATTATTACTGATGAAGATATCCAAAAGAAAATCTGAAAATTAAGATATATTGAACTTCAAACAGGCCTATACAAACCTTCAATCTACAACAATAATCCCAAACAAACACCAGCCTACACATTCAATATACTACAGTGTGTATAAATATAACCTCTAGCTAACAACTTTATAACAGCAAATACTTCACTTACAATTCCTTACATAGACTAATGAAGTTATTTGATCTATCTTATCAAAAGCTTAGGTCAAAAGTAAAGTAGCTTTAACCTCTAATTCCCCATAGATTAGAAAACATAACATATTGTAATAATATTTGTAATATTCTATGAATTCTAATAAAAGAACAGAAGCACAGCCTTACTTTCGTTTTTTTTTAAAAAAAATTTAATTTTTAATATTAATTTTGTAATTAAGCTATTTGCTTGTGATAAATTATATTGCTAATTTTTTATTGCTTTTGTATTTATTGCCATGCTTGCAAAATATTCACTATACAATAACAAAATAGAATTTGAAAATAATTAAATGGTAGATCGCAATTGACGGGTATAAATTTCATAGTAAAAATTGGCGAAGAATTATTATTGCTTTCATATAATTGGAATGCCGAAAGTTTCTGGCAATATATAAAAAAATCAAATAGTCATGAATGTGCAAATGCCAATAACTCGCGATCTACTAGACTAATTTTAATGATTCTATCACTATTAAAACCGGAATAGCTTGTTCTATAATATTTGTTAGAAACTCAAGAAAGGTTTACTTGGCATAAAAAAAACTTTTCATTGTAAGCCAGCTGCATTCTACCCCTATAGATAAACCATTTAACTTCTGACAATTTCTACTATTAAATTTGCTATTTTTTATAAAAACGTTTGTTATGCGGTTGGTTTTTTTTTATTAATAAAGTAAAAAACTTTAAAAAAATTATATTGTCGTTATGATTGTGTTATGACAGTCTTAAGTTACGTGATTATGGGAACACATCGATAATATTTCGATTTGCGCTCCGATTTGTCAAATTTTCGTTGCTGCATTCTAATTGGTCAAAGCTAAATCGATGAATTTTTGATATGCCTAGCACAAAATTACAAAATCCTATTTTTTTTTGATACATCTTGATCAATTACTTCGATTAGAGGACCTTTCGCATTTTTTAAAGAATCATTTGTAACAACTCCAAAAAAATTGTTATCAACAATATATTTGAGACTTTGCAAAATTGCGTTTTTTTCTTGTATTTTTTCTCTATATAGTAACTAAATATAACATGCAAGTAACGTTAAAAATCATTAATAAGAATCATATATAAAAGACAAACACCACTTACCATTTCACGAAGATTCCTGTGGCGAATCCTTTGATGATCTGGTGGACGTTGAAGTGATGGGCAAATCTTAAATATGAAAAATGGTTAAAATATGTAGAAGACGACTAAAGTCATCATAAATAAATACCATTGTTCCCTTATGTCGATTGCCACATTTCTTCCCCCTGGGACAGTGACCAGGTCGATATTTAATACAGATATTGGTATAAAACCTTTCGATAATATTTTTAGAAGTATCTTTCTTATTTCTAGAAGTAAGCTTATGAGCCGGAATTAAGTCAGGTATATTATTGTTCTCAAGAGTTATTCCAGCAGCTTCAGCCGCAATTACCAAATCCGTGACACCACACGGGCCACCGAATTCGTTTATTTCATGCCTATTGATTTTTCTTTTTGAGTAATCATCCTCTTGCTTAAGTTTACGTTTTGATCCACTTTTATCAACTTTTATTACAAGCCCTCGTGCAAGCCTCTCAGCCTCTGCTTGTTGCTATTGCATTTGAAATATTATGAAGTAAATTCTATAAATACTATAAATATTAAGGATAAATAGGATTTCCTTTTACCTTTCGTGCAATATTAGCGTCGGTTGGATAATTTCTCTTTCTATCTTCAATCCATTTAGCGATTGCTTCGGGAGAATCAAGTTTGAAATATATTATTGGTTTCAAATGTCTACATAAAGCCGCCAATCGTTAATTAAGTATTAAATGAGCTTTTACGTTCAGTTGCTAATGAAACTTGAATAATTACGATTCATCGTCATGCAGTCCAATTCCGTGTTGTCCCAATATTTTTGAGTTTTTTTGCTCCAATTTTGGCGTATCCCCACGATCACGACCATAGCTATGTATTCGCGATGGCCGTGGAGGTGGCCGTTGTAATTGCAATGGTCGCTGTGGTGGCGGCGGTGGTGGTAGACTATAAGTAGGCGGAAGAATTCCTCGTTCTGAAGACATCCAAAAGTTTTCTTGATTTAACTTACAATTGGGACCCTATTTTTTTTTCTTAGATAATCTCACTTCACATGTTATACCCAAAAAGTCTCCGGTTCGCATGGACTCCTACCAATTCGGGGGGGTCCGCTAAAGCCTTTTACCCACGTGACTTTTTCTTAGATTTAGATTTTTGACTGTCCAAAGGCTTTTTTGGCACTGTCCAACGTCCAAGTGTCCAAGTGTTCACAAGTGTCCAAAGCATGTCTAAGCTTTAATAATTAATAAATTTGTTTAAAAAATATATGATTATATATTTTTTTA